TCATGGCATGAGCAATTGGTTGAAGAAATCCTTATGATAAATTAACTTTTCTACAAATTTCTGGAACTTGTTGACATGTTGTTTTGAATCATGTCTCTGAAGTAACAGTCTCTTATTCTTTCCAAGAATTCTGCCTCTTGCCCAAAGTTAGTTTCACTTTAATATTATGGACCTCTTTATTCCCTTAATTATCTTCCTGCTCTCAAGCCTAGCACACATATTTAGTAAATAAATACTAGCTTACTTTTTTATTTTCAGTCTCTTCTACACTCTTATTCTCTCTATATTTAAGAATACATGCACTCTCCTGATCTTGAAAAGTTCAGTTGCTTTGCTATTTCTGTCCTCCAAAATGTCATCCTTTTACTGCAGTTTGAGTATCAATTTCCTTACTAATGGACATAGACAGATTGGGAATAGATAGTAATTGTGAGCAAAAAACAAATACAAGCATACTGGACTAGTTGTGAAATCCCCGTAGATGCACCCACAAAAAGGACAAAATTGTAGTGTAGAAAAAGGACTATAACAAGAGTGCAAGGAGGCTTCTTCATTCGCACAGACAGAAGCTGTGACAGTGAACAAGCTCTCAGAAGTGGAAAAGAGCTATAGATGGAAAGTGAGGGCCTTAAGGAATGCCTGTGCTTAAGAAAGAGGACAGTGAGATAAAGGGTTTGGAGGGAGATAGAACTGTAAGTGATTGTCCAGTTTAGAATTCTTCACTTTTAAAATGTTTGACTCAAAAAAGTTTACAGAAATGTTCCCCATCCCACCCACCCAAAAAGTGCATTTACTGGCAACTGTAGGTTAAAAACCAAGTCTTTTTTCATTATTTCGTGGATATTACTTACACTATGTGTGTTTGGATGTGGCAAACCCTCCAGGATTTCATAGCTTCTCCTTTAAAACACACACACACACACACACACACACACGCACACATATATATATCCTTTTAAAAAAAAATTGATTTTAGAGAGAGGAAGGGATGGAGGGAGGGAGAGACAGACATGCAGACAGATATCGATCGGTTACCTCCTGTACCCAACCAGACCAGGATTGAATTCACAACCTGGGTAGGTGTCCAGACCAGAATCTAAACCGCCACCTTTCTCTATGTGGGGACGATACTCCAGCCAACTGAGCCACACTAACCAGGGCAGCTTCTCCCTTTTTGCCTCCTATTTTCTTTATTTTCTCCACTTTTCCCCTTCTTTCTTTTCATTAGCTACCACTCTTTTCCTACCAAAGACCAAATGACTGCCACCTAGGGGAAAAGGATTGCTTTTTTCAAGCCCTGCGCACATACCTTCCTTCTCTTCCTCCTCCTTTTCCTCCTCCTCCTCCTCCCCTCCCCCCCGCTCTGTGTGTGTGTGTGTGTGTGTGTGTGTGTGTGTGTGTGTGGCTCCTCAAGTAGGCATATAGATACAAGAATGATAGGTGATCTAGTAAAAGAGGGTAAACAAATGGGAGCAAATGGGCAGCATGGACCATGAGTAAAGTGACCACAAACCTTATAATGAGTTTATTTTAAAGATTCTCTTAAAAACAGCTTTGTCCAAAAGTCATACATTAAAATCCTTGGTCATATGTTCATATTTTTAGATGTTGGGCATTTGGTCATAGAAATCTTTTAATTTAAAAGTGCCTGTACAGGCTGGGAGCGGCCAGGCCCGAAGCAGCCGGGTCTGGTTCTGCCAGGCCCGGAGCAGCGGCTGCCAGGCTGGGAGCGGCCAGGCCCGGAGCAGCGGTTGCCAGGCTGGGAGCGGCCAGGCCCGGAGCAGCCAGATCTGGTGCGGCCAGGCCCAGAGCAGCAGCTGCCAGGCTGGGAGCGGCCAGGCCCGGAGCAGCCGGGTCGGGTGCGGCCAGGCCCGGAGCAGCGGTTGCCAGGCTGGGAGCGGCCAGGCCCGGAGCAGCCAGATCTGGTGCAGCCAGGCCCAGAGCAGCAGCTGCCAGGCTGGGAGCGGCCAGGCCCGGAGCAGCAGCAGCCAGGTCCAGAGCAACTAGGTCGGGAGCGGCAGTGACCAGACCCGGAGCAGCTGGTTGTGGAACGAACCAGAGCAACAGAGGCCAGGCCCGGAGCAGCCAGGCCCGGAACAGCTCGCTCCTCGCCTGCCGCTGCCTCTCAGACATGGCTGGAAACTTTTGCGGGAACTTGAGGGTCTGCTGAATCAAGTGATGAAGGCTTTAGATCTGGATGTGTTGAGTTAGTATAGCGCTGGGGTGTTGATCTGTGAGTGCCTTGGGTGGGGCCTGGATGAGGCTGGTTGACCTATTTGGAAATGTCTTTTGTGTGAAGTGTATCATTGGGCATGTGGAGGTATTATTGATATGAGAAAATGCTAAGTAACTGATTTACTATCTGAAAAGGGATTTACTATCGGGAAAAGGGAGGGAGGAAGAGACTGAACATAAACTGTGCACCTATGGATGAGGACAATGGGGGATGGGGAGGGGGCGGAGGATGGGGTGGGAACCTGACAATGGGGGATGGGGAGGGGGCGGAGGATGGGGTGGGAACCTGGCGGAGGGGGGAAGAAATGAGGAACCTTTGTAATAATATGAACAATAAAGATTGATTTGAAAATAAATAAATAAATAAATAAATAAATAAATAAATAAATAAAATAAAAAATAAAAGTGTCTGTATCCTGAATAGATTGAATGCCTTTCTTGCCAACTTGTTTGTCTAGATGTCTTTCTATTTTCTATTTCTGTTGATAAGACATAGACAGTTAATGTTTTCTTTCTATGTTTATCCTGGGATCTAGCACACTGTTTCATGTTCAGTATTGTTCAATGGATAGATGGATTTTAAAGAAGCCTTTCTATTTTAGCGGATTTTTATCCTAATTGTGATGGTAAATCTGACTTTGTTTTAAGTTTCTGAGAATACCACATTCCGTATTCATTTTTATTCCATTTTCATCCCAGCCGTGGCACCTAGGGTTTTCTTGCTTTGCTCTATGTATAAGATTGCAGTTAAAATTGAACTGACATGGAATAAAACAGCATAGGATTTTCCTGTTCCTTAGTAAGAACCAAAACAACTATTAAAGTTGATTATGAGAAAACAGCATATCTTGGAACCTCATCATTAGGGCAGTGGTTTTCAACTGTCTTCTGAGGGAAGAAAGACAGTTATTTGATGAGCTGACCTAAGTTTTCTCATTTAAAGGGGACAAAATAATAACTTTCTCAGTTGTAAGTTTTTCACCCTCTTATTTTTATAAATTTTGGCATCAGCTTGTTTCTTGTTGAATCTCGGGTATCATTTAGTATCTAATTTAGAACAAAATTTAGTTAGATACCAAGTTGATTAAGTCAGTATTAACGGGGCTTTGTACCAGAAAATACTTTTAATACACTGTTTAATACATTATTTCCTGCCCTAGCCGATTTTGCTTAGTGGTTAGTGTGTCAGTCCTCAGACTAAAGGGTCTCAAGTTCGATTCCAGTCAAGGGCATGTACCTTGTTTGCAGGCTCAATTCCAGGTGCAGGTTAGGATTCATGGAGGATGTAAGCAATCGATGTCTTTCTCACATCGATGTTTCTCTCTCTCTGTCTCTCCCCCTCCCTCTCTCTCTAAAAATTAATGGAAAAAATATCCTTGGGTGAGGATTAACAAAAAAAACAAAACCATTGTTTCCCTTGCTACTTGCTGGAGGGAGTGATAAATGGGAACTGCTCAGAAGTTTCCTTATGGGGTGATGAAAATGTTTTGAAACTAGATAAGAGGTGAAGATTGTACAAGATTGTGAATATACTAAATGTCGCTAAAATATACACTTTAAAATGGTTAATTTTTATGTGAACTTTATTTAAAAATCACTATTTCATAACTTTAAAAATTTCATACCATATCTGTGAATTGTCAATATGTATGCTGCAGCTCAAAGGATAACTTCCTTCTGAAGCTATTACAGTCTTATAATTATTCCTTTAAATTGTGATATTTATTAAAGTGAAAATGAGCACTCACTGGTTAAATGCTGGGAGACCAATCACATTACCTGAAGCTAACACCAGATACTTATATATACAAGCTCACCACCACTTCTTGCTGTCTATATCATTAGATTCAATATTATCTTTGAATTACTTCTTAAGGCTTATATACACAACTTGATTCTTTAAAGAAAGCTAGTCTGTATACAGTTGACAGAAATAAACTTTCCACATGCAGGTAAAAAGCCTATTCGGAACTTTTTTAAAAAAAGTTTAGAATTCCTACTGAATTCATAGCAAAATAGAATTGAATAAAGACATTCTTTCTTTTTAGTAAAAGCAGTGAAACTTCAAAGAAATGCTTATTAGCCCAGCCATTATGGCTCAAAGGTTGAGCGTCAACCTATGAACCAGGAGGTCATGGTTTGATTCAGGTCAGGGCACATAACTGGGTTGCAGGCTCTCTCCCCAGTAAGAGGCGTGCAAGAGGCAGCTGATCACTTATTCTCTATCATCATTGATGTTTCTATCTCTCTTTTCCTCTCCCTTCCTCTCTGGAATCAATAAAAATATATTAAAAAAGAAATACCTGTTAAATCTGTTTCCACTAATGTTTGGATAACTGGTTCTTACCTGCCCTTGTCTTACAGACAATTGCGTGCATTGTTCTGTGCATGTAGCTGTGTGTTCAAACACATGAACTATAGTCACATTCTCTTTTTTCACCCTCAATTCCTTAGTCAAATATTACCAGAGTAATTTGGGAAAATCTAGTATATTTAAGTTATTAAATGATGGAAATAGATCTTATTAACATGCTTAATCTCAGACTTTCTCCCAGATATCTTGAGTTCTCAGACATATTCTAATTTTAGCAGATAGTATCTTGGTTTCTCTGAAGCTCATTTAGTTTTGGATGTAGATTTATCACATTTTTTTTTTCTGTTAAACTAATGTTTCACTGTAGTATCGCATATAGTTACCAATAAAGTAGTTTCACATACAAAGTTAAAAGTGAGCTCTAACCTATGTCTTCTTACTGTTTCTCTAGAACTGTCCAGTAATCCAACTCTAGCTACCATCCTTATTCCTCCTCATGCTCGGATTCAAGCAGCTGCTTCAACCCCAACAAATGCCACAGCAGCCTCAGGTGAGAACTTATAAATCTCTTCTATAAAAATATATTGTGTGTTTTTTTTAGACATGATTACCTCCATTTTATTTCTTTTGATACATGTGAATATTTAATATCTTCTAAGTATTGACAGCACAGCCAAAAGAATAAATGTGAATAAAATAGTGCTCTATTTTCAAAAAGCACAAAAGAATCCCATAAATAACTTTTTATAGAAGGTAAAATACCTGATTGTATTTAATTTTTTTGTTATTTTTAAAGTCATACTTTCCACATAATTTCTTGTTTGTATATCAAATGAGATATCAATAGTAGAATCTGTACAAACATGTCATTGAAGATAATTCACTTTAGTTCCAACACCCTAAATGTAAACTGTATGAGTATACTAGAGAGGCAAAGTTTTAAGAAGTATGGTGAGTTTAATCATTTGACAGGACTAAACTGTAATGCAGGTACATTTAAGATTTAGATCAGAATGTGATGAGGTCTTCTATAAAAAAAAAAAAAGCCCTCATGGTCTCCCAGGGTATAGCTTAGTGTACTGCCGGCCCTTTAGCCAATTAATGGTGTGGCCTGATTTAGTACAAATCACTGTCATTACAGATATGCTGAAAATACCCAACCCTTTTGTGAATTGAAGTTCTGAAGAATGGCTGGATGCTGTTTAAAATGAAGTTAGAAATATACTAGGTAGCATACTCAGGCTCAGAATTTGGCATCCCTTCCTTTCTTACAAAAAGCAGATGTCAGAAGCTGACTTTATTTTCATTAAATCATTTATTACATTGAACTAAGTTGGATCAGACCCATTTTTGCCTAAGGGCATTCATGCTGCAGGAGATAAAATCTTTTATTATTAGTTCCCTGTATTTAACTGTAAAGTCAGAATCCATCAGTTGTCTGACACAAAGTTGTTTGTTTTCCTCCAACATTAATCTTTTGAGACATTGTTAGTAAAGATTAAAAACATTTCGTGCTAGTCCATGTCCTATCTTTATTCCAGAAGTCGGAAAAGTTCTCTTTTTCACTTCTAGTTCTATTAGCACATGCTACCTTGAGAAAGGCATTAAAATAAAACTTTATTAGTTTTAGTATATCTTTCTAGTTTTCTCATTTCTATAAAATGAGTGGCAGTGCTCTCCTAGAGAAATTTTATAAAAACAAATATGTACTGAAATATGTTTCAAATTTTTTAAATGTAAAATACAGGGTTTAAAATATATATATATGACCTATTTATTTAAAACGAAGATAGATTGCTTAGATGAGTTATTAATAACTTACCAAATCACAGGTTAGGTTATGTTGATTGTTCAAAACCTGAAATATACCCTAACCCTGAACTAAGTGCATTTGCTTGGTGAGTTAGTTTCCAGAGTTTTATCAGAATTACTTGACTATGAATAAAAATAAGAATTATGATTGGAAAGTTTTAAATAATTTTAAATGATTTCAGAGAGGAAAAGAGAGGGAGAGAGAGATAGAAACATCAATGATGACAGAGAATTATTGGTTGGCTGCCTCCTGCACGCCCCCTATTGGGGATTAAGCCCACAACCCGTGCATGTTCCCTTGGCCGGAAATAACAGTAGTAAACTAAGTGCTGGAGTTTCTAGTGTGCTTGGAACCTTCAGTCCATAGGCTCGCTCTATCTACTGAGCCAAATCGGCTAGGGCTAAGTGATCTTCTTAATGTGAGATACTAAACTAAGGTTTTTAGGCAATTTGCCTAGTAGGAGTGTAAGGTTATTTCTACATTTGATGCAGGTTATAGTAGTTACCCAAAAAATATTTTCATTGCTTTATGTGCATACATACACACACACACACACACACACACACACACACACACACACACACACACACATATATTCTTATAGTTACTGAAGTCAGATTTCCACATAAATATGGAAACTGCACTGGACGGTGATCCTTAAAGTTTACCTCAAAGTTGAAGTAAATCAGGGGATGGGGAACTTAACAGAGGAATAGTAGGCTGAGACAGAGCTAAAATTAGTTTAGAAAAATGCATGCCTTGAATAGCTTAATAGTTACCAAAGAGGATTTCAGATATTGCTCTGAGCTTCCTTGTGGCTAAAGTAAATAAATGTTATCTGTTAAAATTTTCCACTGTTCATTAGATTAAAAGTACACTTGTGGCTTAGGAGAAGCAAAGTGTTTCTGGCCCTGCTGTGAAAAGTATTTCTTCCGCCTCAGGGCCTTGGATTTGGTATTGTAAGAGATATAATAAATGAAGTTCTCATAATCATTTCAACAATAAATGTAATAGTGAGTTTCATGTCGATACTTGTAAGTATCCCTCTTGTAAGCTAAAGGAATAACACTACAGTATAGTTAAAGGAAAATAGTTTCTTTGGGGCCAAAGTAGTGAGGGTCGCCAAGTATGTTATCAAATATATCTCAGGAAATGCTGATCTAGATGAATGGATTGACTGTATGACGTGAACAGCTGCCTGTATTTAAATAAATATATATGTATGCTTATATATTTTTTAAATAAGAATTTGATGGTGTGAATTATATTTTTAAATAAGACCTTAAAATATACGTGCTCTCTGTTGCCTCTCTTAGCTTCAGTTTCTTTAGCCATAAAACAGGAATAGTAACTACCCACTGCATAGAGTTCTGAGAAGTAAGGTACAAAATGTACAGAATCCGCAGCTTGTGTTTTGTTCAAGGTCCAAGTAGTGGCTACAGGTGAATTGATTAAGACCCATTGGAAAGCATTACTGTGTACGTATAACAAGAACCATTAAAGTTCATACTTTTTAGTTCACTGATTCCACTGTAAGGATTTATCTTCAGGATACATCTACGTGTACAGAGATAGCAATCTATAATAATAAAAGCATAAAATGCTAATTAGACTGGCGTCCTTCCAGACAAAGCTGGGATTGCGAGAGAAGTCTGGGTCCCGGGTGCCAGACGGTGGCCTACTCTTGCACAAGTATTCATACATCAGCCTCTAGTAACCACATAATAACTGAAAGGAGAGCCGGTCTGATGTGAATGCTCAGCAGTAGGAAATCATTTTAATACATTATGAATCTTCATTTTTATTAGCTTAGTGGAAATACTCAATTTATGTGGAGAAAATTTTTAAAAAATCTTTAAGTATCATGTTGATAATTCCCTAAATGTGTGCTTACATGTGAATAGGGACTAGATATTAGGTCTAGTAATAATTAATGTCGTTTTCTAATACTTTTTTAAATCTAATTTATTTAAACAATACAACAAAATTTATTCAACAATATAGTTGCTGTTGTTTTCTACTACTTGTGCCCAACGCTCAGGAAGCATTTTAATCCCTAGGTTGTAAAATTCTTGTGATTTTGATGCAAAAAATTTGGTCAATGCATTTTTGAGGCATTCTTCATTATTAAGTTTTTTTCCAAGAAGAAAGTTTTGCAAAGAACGAAACAAATGGTAATTAGAAGGGGCAATATCAGGAGAATATGCAGGTTGAGGGAGAACTTCCCATTCCAACTGGCGCAGTTTTTCAGCAGTGATTCTTGCAGTATGCGGTCGTGCGTTATCGTGGTGAAGAATTACACCCTTCCAATTAATCAGCGCGGGTTCTTTTTCTCTTAAAGCTTGGGCTAACCTTTCCAATTGGGCACTATACACTGCACTTGTAATGGTTTGGTTAGATGGTAAAAGTTCATAATGAAGAATTCCTTTAAAATTCCACCAAACACACAACATCACTTTTTTCGCATGCAAGTCAGGTTTTGGCGTGGGCTGCGGAGCCTCATTTTTGTCCAACCATTGAGGCCGCCTTTTCAAATTAACATACAGCACCCATTTTTCATCTCCGGTAACAATTTGCTCTAAAAACGGCAAACGGTTTTGACGAGAGAGGAGCGAACTGCAAATTGTGACTCTTTGATTACGGTTGTTGTCGGTCAACTCATGAGGAACCCATTTTCCAAACTTTTGGACTTTGCCAAGTGCACGCAATTGATTGGAAATTGTTTTTTGTGAACAATTTAAAGTTGTCGCAAGCTCTTGTTGGGTAATTTGAGGATTTTGCACCAAAAGAGCTTGAAGAGCTTCTTGATCAAAATTGGACACACGGCCTCGACCACTCTTGTCATCTAACGAAAAATTTCCCTCGCGAAATTTCTCAAACCAACGCTGGCATTTTCTGGCGCTAACTGCATCTTGACCAAGAGCACTACAGATGTTTTTTGCAGCCTCACTTGCTTTTCTCCCTAATTGGAACTCGTAAAGCATGCAGTGCCGAATATGCTCTTCATCCGCCATCTTCTTAGCCCTAGTTTTGCAACAAAAACCAAACCAAACACAAACTTTTTCAAGCAAAACTTGTTAATTGCACTTCACACGTTCTGTAGATACCACGTGTTTGAAGGTTATGTCAATACAAGTCAACGCCAAGCAAGATTTTAAACGAATGTTTAAAAACGACATTAATTATTACTAGACCCGATAGAAATATGCAAAACAAAAAACGTTATGTTAAATTAGTAGATGTAAATTTTTTCTCTCTCTCAAAAACTTTTGCATTCTTTTTAAATTGTTAAAATACCTCAGTTTCTGGGAGCATTATAGTTGATCATGGCTCTGACATGACAAACTCTTAAATTACTAGTCTCAATCTATAAAGTATAATTTCTTATTTTGATGTGTGTGTGTGTGTGTGTGTGTATATATGTTCTGATTTTCTCCACACCCCCAACAGATCCTCTCATTCACTCCATTTGAGAGACCATTCATATAAATTATTTGGGTAACAAAGCTTGAGAAATCATAGCTTTAATAATCAGAGATCACCTGATCTAATTCTAGAATAGTTAAATGTGAGATGTGGTAGGGAATTTTAACTACAGCAGTTTTTTTGTTTTGTTTTATTTTTATTTTTTTCTCTTCATTTGTTTTGTATATCAGTCTGCAGAGCAATGGTTCTTAATTAAAACTAATTTGAAAATCTCTCATACCTACTAAGAACTAGTTGTCTATTTCATGCTTATGTATATTCAGTAATTGGAAGCTCATTACTGGAAGAAGGAGCACATACCATCTTTATATCACTCTGTTAGGAAGTTTATCCTTTTTTCACCCTGAAATTTGTTCCCCTATACTTTCTTCTACTCAGTGATTCTACTTTGGGGTTACAGAGAACCAACCTATTCATTTAAAAAATCCTTCAAATTTTAGTAATGGCTAACATGCCCTTCATACTAGCGAGGTTTTTAAAACTAACCCTGTTCTAAAGTGTCAGGGTGTTAGGTTTTCTATACAGTTGTATATCACCTGCACATTTTCATAAACACATCAACTTCTTGTCTATATTCAAGCAACTAATAAAATCTATCAAACAGGACAAGGCAAGGCTTTCTAGAGGTTTTTTTGTTTTTTGTTTTTCCCTTTGTTGAAATTACTGATAAAATAAGTTAAATGGGACCAGGCAAGGCTTACTAAAGAGTATTCTTCTGGTGGTCTTTGGGTGATTGTTTAATCCTCTTGTTTGCTAAGCTACAGACCAACCTTACAAAATATAGGGGAACAAATATATAATAATGTTACTTAAAACTTTGTGAAATGCTTTGCTGTTGTCAGTAAAACATTCAGATTTCTTCTGTCAAAAAGGTATAACTGTCAAAGATGAAAATAAAACTTTTTAAAACAGGGAAATTTCTAGTGCCTAAATGTTTATAAACTGCATTTCTGTAGTCCATGTTAAGAATTTGTTTCTTGGACTATAGTCTCTGTGTTTAATGGCATTGACATGTGTAAATTGCCCTCAACTTCCTCGGGCTGCATTTTGTTTATTAGGATTTTTGTTATATCCTTTTCAGGTTGAAAACCCTTCTAACAGAAAAGGGAATCATGATAGGAGTTGGACAAGGTCTGTCTTCTCTGTCTTTTTACCTGGTCAGGGTATTTAACTTTTCTTGATCTTACTTTGAAAACCTTTTGCTGTTACCTTATTTAAACCAAACCTGGCCTATTCTTACCGGTTCACATTGTTATTTTTTTATTCTTCCTTGCATATGTGTCCTCCTTCTTAAAGTTATATATTTTTTAATATGAGCTCATATGAGAAAACCCTTTAAGCTGGTTTATTTGATTCTTTTCCCTCTACTTTGCATTGATATTATTTGCAATTGCTTGGTCAGAAATATTTTTTCTAATTTTCTCTTTGTTGTCAGTTATTAGCCTCTTGAAGACTCTAGCTACAAAATCATACTTGATAGTTTTCTGAACTTTTTGAAATTAATTTTGCTAAAGTCATGGTTCACATTTAGCCAGAGCCAGAGGTCCTATCTCCTTAATTATTATAGTTGTTTTTACCCCAGAATTTCTGTCACCTATATCATCTGCCAGTTCTTTCTAGTTGGACAGCATTAAACTCAGAACAATTTTTTTTTGTTTCCACTGCTATTGAGAGATGAAATGTTAAAATAAGTCAATGTATTAAATTCTCATTTAAACAAATGACAATTACCATTTCTTCTCCCACTCCCCAAGTACTGTTTCTGTGCCACTTTCACACATGCACTGGGACAGCTGTATCTATATCCTGTCTAGTTGTGGAATCTGCAGTATATGCCCTCAGGTGTTCCTCTTCCTAACCTTGTCCTTTCTGTTCCCTTTACCTTAACCTAAATGTATGTGAAGTTTCATTAAAGTATACAGCTTTAAAAAGAAAATGAAAGAAAGAAAAAAACCATGGGTTTTTCTCTATTAATTACATAATATAGTTATTTTAGGGGTTGGGGAGTCTCCCATATTCTCACTTCCACAGGTAATCAAAGGTAACATTATTTTATATTTTAGTCTATATATGAATGGACAGAGAGATATGCTTTTTTAAATGGGCTTATGCTCTTAGGGTATAGGAGTATATGATTGTATTTTATTGTATTCTAAATATGTATCATAACTTATTTAACTTATTCTTGGACATTTGGGTTGTATCCCAGTTTTTAGAAGTAGAATTGCTGAGTCAAAAATGTATGAAGACTCTGATACATATTGTCAAGCTTCCTTCCAGAAAGCTTGTAGCAGTTTACACTGCTCATTGGCAGTGCACATTTTTTCCATTTCCTTAACATTAGCCATCTCAGAGTTAGGGTATGGGGAATAGGGTACACATGCTTATTTTTAGGTGTTACCAACTTAGTAGCCAAAGAACATGGTTCTGCTTTTTAGGTCCAGTATTTTACCCATTTCTTTCTTTGGCTCTGTGTTTGAAATAAGACCCATGCACATATGCCAGTTTGACCAATTCACTGACACCAATGAGGTTGTATCTATCCTGTGTCAAGGTTTCAAGTTCACTTGGTGAGTTAATACACAGAGTGAGGCAAAAGTAGGTTTACAGTTCTGAGTATATTAAACACAGAGTTTATTCTTATACTAAAGGCCCAGTGCACGGATTTGTGCACCGGTGGGGTCCCACAGCCTGGCATGTAGGGATTGGGCCGAAACTGGCTCTCCGACATCCCCGGAGGGGTCCCGGATTGCGAGAGGGCGGTTCTCAGGTGACGTGCCCTGTAATTGGGCTCCCTCCTCTCTGGTTCTGGTGCGTCACCTGAGAACCACAGCTCCTACATTCAGCATCTGTCCCCTGGTGGTTATTGCACGTCATAATTACTGGTCAAATGGTTGGTTAAGCTTTTATACATATAATTTATTAATTATTGTACTATTTTCCATACAAACAACTGTAAACCTACTTTTGCCCCCACAGTGTATAAATACTTAAAGTCAAGCCTGTTTAGTCATTATTTCACTACGTTTTTATTCAAAATATGTTCTGTCTTATTAAGTCAAAATTTTTACCTGTTTTTCTCCCCTACCTCAAAAATAATATGAAATCTTTTTGAGTTGGTGAGTGTCCTATCAGACCATTTAGGTGTTCACGTGCTCTTTAGTTCCTTGCCTGAAATCACCTAGTTAAATTCATGTGCCTTTTCTTATTCTTTATTCCTAAATTGTAGGTGTTTTGTTGTGTTGTTTGTTTTAACTTAAAAGATGGAAATGTTTCCTGTGTCTTCATGGCCTTCAATTCCCTATTTTGAACAACCAAGCCTCTTAATTAAAATGTGCTCTGCCCCTGAGCTCAGAGCAACTAAGACCTCTCTGCTGCTAGCAAATCAAATATAAGCAGTCTTGTGGACAAGTCCTCCAGGTTTGCTGGTGTGTGGCTGGCTCACTGATGTCTGAATTTCAGTTCTATTTTTGAAATGACTAAAGCACCTTGGTGTCTTGTGCCGCACCTTTTCCTCAGAATGATATAAAAAGAGGAGTGATGATGCTTTGCTGAGGAGGAACCCCCTCTTCTCCCCAATTGTTACCCAGGCAAAATTGTCAAAATCATAGTTATGATATAAATATAACGGTGGTAATATTAGGGTACATCTTTTATTCTCTGTAATGATCTTGCTGCTGGGCCAGACGATGAACACTTACTTGTATCAACTAGAAGTCTTTAACTTTTATAGACCCATAGCTCTAGAATACTGGTGCATAGTGGCACAGCTTTTGGAACCCAGTTTCTATGTTTACTTTCTGTCCTTTCCTCCCAACCTGTTTTCTTGTTTTCTATTCTTATTTAAAACCTTTAACTACAATTTATAAGTGTGTTCTTTCGTTTACTCTTTACTCTCCATTTGCACATTTGGTCAGACTCATTTGGAGGGACAGGACTTGCTGATGTGTGGGGCAGGGGGGCCTGGGAGTGAAGAATCTAAGTAAGAACTTCAGGACTACAGCCTGGGCAACTGGGTGGGCCAGTTTCCTGAGTATTGGGACAGCTGCCTGTCAGATCCAGGGCTCAGTTATCCAGGGACTCTTACAGATCTCTGAGAATCAGGGAAGAAACTGGGTCCTCTCCTAGAAAATTGTTTATATATCATATATGGAATTTTGCATGTAAAAATTTACTCTAGAAAAAACCACATCCTCATGGACTCTGTTGGGAACCTGATACCTTAGGGCTTCACATTGGTTTTACTGTGGGATTGCCCAAGTTGTCGTTTTTACCTCTGAATTTACACAGACTACAATTGGTTTTAGTAAATGCATGCACAAATTCCCCTTGTCACGTCCTACATAATAAAAAGCTATCATGCAAATGACTGAATGGTGGAATCACCGGTCACTATGATAAGCACTGACCACCAGGGGGCAGACACTCAATGCAGGAGCTGCCCCCTAGTGGTCAGTGTGCTCTCACAGGGGGAGTGCCGCTCAGCCAGAAGCCGGAAGCCAGGCTCATCGCTGGCAAGCACAGCAGCAGTGGTGGGAACCTCTTCCCGCCTCCATGGCAATGCGAAGGATGTCTGACTAACAGCTTAGGCCCATTAAGCCATCAGTCAGACATCCTCCCAGGGTTCCCGGATTGCTAGAGGGTGCAGACCAGGCCGAGGGGATCCCCCCCAAGTGCACGAATTTCGTGTACCGGGTCTCTAGTCTAGTATAAAATCCATGGAACCATTAGCTTTTCTTAGGGTTAGGGAAAAAACAGTTGATCATATGCTGCAGTCTTTCTATGTTGTATAGTTTTTTTAGGAGCATTCCTGATTTTGTAGAGGGACTTGGTCAGTGGTGCTCTCATGGGCTTGTGAGCATAAACCCTAACTGGCATTTAAGTTCTTTGACAAATATGTATGTGTTGGTTATCTGTTGCTACATACCAAGATACCCTAGTAAAATTTAGCAGCTTAAAACAAGAGTAAACATTACCCCCACATACTTCCTGTGAGTCAGGAATTCAGAAGCAGCCTAACTGCTGGATGGTTCTAGGTCAGGGTCTCTAGAGGTTGTAGTCAGACTATCTGCCAGGGCTGCAAACATCTGAAGACTTGCCTGGGGCTAGAAGATATCCTTGCAGGATGGCTTATTCGTGTGGTTGATGAGTCCCTGCTGGCTGTATGCAGGAGGCCTCGGTCCCTCACCAGGAGGACAAGGAGGAAGCTACACATAATTTCTGAAATGATTGACAAGCCAATGCTACTCACCGGGGGAGGAGACTACATTAGGGCATAGACACCAAAATTCATGACTTATTAGGACCATCTTGGAAGCTGGCTACCACAATGTGTAAGAATGATCTTATACTTTCCTTCCCAAAGCTCATTATTCTCTCTGTCCCCCCTCAAGGCTGTTGGTTGGTTGATTGGTTGGTTGGTTGGTTGGTTGGTTAGTTGGTTGGTTAGTTGGTTAGTTTGTACTGCGGGAGTATCAAAAGGGTGGTAATGGGCATTCGTTTCTAGGAAGTGAGGAAGTCAGTGAACTGTCAATTCTTTCCAAAACACTTGTATATCTGTATACCCCACACAGACTTTGAAAATTAGAAAATAAAATAACTATACCTTTAATTCTTAACATAAATTCACTGATCTGTTTTAGTGTAGTAACCCTTTTAGATAATAAAAGTAGGCTTTAGAAATCACAATGGATCGTGTAAGGGGGAATGAAATTAAGTTATTTTCTCCCTTTACTAGGAAATCTTTTCTGCTGCTCCCTACTACCCATAAAAAGTCATCATCCTCTTATTCTGTGCTCAGCTCTCCCATTTGTTAGCCCTCCAATGTAAGGCATATAACTTAATCTCTTTGTGCTTCCATTTTGCCATTGCAAAATGGGGACAACAATTTTTACCTATTTCTTGGGGTTGCTGTGTGGGCTAAATGACATTCCTGCAGTGTGTACTTATTGCAATGTTTGGCACATTGCTAAGCACTCATATATTAACTGCTGCCACTTATTTATTATGGTGTAATGGTGGATATTGAAGTCACACTAAACTATTTTAGATGCCTGTTCTACTTTCCATGTATTAAACAATTACTATAAGCCAGGTGCTATGCTAAGCATTTCATAGACCTTATTTTGTAAGTAGGTAGTATTATTGCCATTTTTCAGGTGAGGAAATTGAGGGGTAGAGAAATTTAAGTAACTTGTTTCAAAATTGCACAGCTATTAAGTTATACAACTAGATCTCATATTAAATAAATGTTTGTAGAATTGGACTAGGTTTAAGAAAGACTATCAGTGTGAATATCAGAAGAGCATTTCTTAAGACTAAAAACTAGTAACTGTACACTCAGTGTTTGGTGATTCACAGTGGGATTGGGTATCTTGGGATGAAAAGATCTTAGCTCACCCTGTAAACCGTAATGCCAAGTGGTGTAACTATCAGTACGAATGTAAAGGAAGCAAATGCTGCTTACTGTTTAATGCTTCAGAAGAAAAGTTATAGAATCACCATATGTATTCAAATCAAGTGACAGTTTATCAGAATTTTAAATTAATGAGCATTACTATAATAAAGGGGCCATATTAATTTAAATTTGTAAAATAAGTTTACAGAATTGACAGTGGGAACAAAATAAGTATGTACCAAGAAGAATTTACAAAATGTAGTTTTGTTCAGTCAGAAAGCCAAGTGGTCTGTTGGAGCTATCATTGAGTTCATAGGACTTCACTTTTTATTTTGTTTTGCTTTTCTCCTCCCTGTACTTTGTCTTCCTTGGGATGGGAGACTTCTTTTCCTCAACAAAGACATGTATAATTTGATTTTTAAGTGCAGTTCATTGCATTAGATAAAAGGGTTTGGGTGTAGGTGTATTTTAATATATTTTTATTTATTTCCAAGAGGAAAAGAGAGAAAGAGATAGAAACATCAATGACGAGAGAGAATCATTGATCAGCTGCCTCCTGCACACCCCCTATTGGGAATGGAGCCCGAAACCCAGGCATGTTCCCTGACTAGGAATCGACTTGGAACCTCCTGGCCATACCACTGAGCCATACCAGCTGGGCTTTTTTGTTTTGTTTTTTACTAATGATTATAGTGCTATGACTTAGGTATCAAAGATATTTATAATTAAAATAATTATCTGTTAAAATTTTACTCATCAAATTATTTGGAAACTAGAGGCCTGGTGCACAAAATTTGTGCACGGGGAGAAGGGGTGATGGTGTCCCACAGCCCAGCCTGCCTTCTCTCCAATCTGGGATCCCTCTCACAATCCAAGACTGCTGGCTCCCAACTGCTCGCCTGCCTACCTTCCTGATTGCCCTAACCACTTCTGCCTGCCAGCCTGATCACCCACTAACCACTCCCATGATTGATGTCTAATTGCTCTCTTGCCAGTTTGTTTGCCTCCAATTTCCCTCCTCTGCCAGCCAGGTTACCCCTAACTGCCCTCACCTGCAGGGTTGATCGCCTCCAACTTCCCTCCCCTGCTTGCCTGGTCCCTCTCAACTGCCCTCCCTTGCAGGCCTGGTGCCTCCCAACTGCCCTCCCCTGATGGCCATCTTGTGTCCACATAGGGGCAGGATCTTTGACCACATGGGGGCAGCAATCTTGTGTGTTGGAGTGATGGTCAATCTGCATATTACTCTTTTATTAGATAGGATAGAGGCCTGGTGCACAGGTGGGGGCTGGCTGGTTTGTCCTGAAGGGTGTCCCAGATTAGGGTGGGGGTTTCCTTGGGGCATGGGGTGGCCTGAGCAAGGGGCCTGTGGTGGTTTGCAGGCGAGCCACGCCCCTGGCGACCCAAGTTGGAGGCCCTGGTATCTGGAATTTATTTACCTTCTACAACTGAAACTTTGTAGCCTTGAGTGGAGGCATAGGCAGGCAAGGGCAGGCCATTGCCTGGGAAACCCAAGCCTCCCTCCTGCTCTCTGTGGCTGTAGCCATCTTGGTTAGTTTTATTTGCATACTTGTTCTGATTGGCTGGTGGGCGTGGCTTGTACAAGTAGCAGAGTGATGGTTAATTTGCATATTACTCTTTTGTTAGGTAGGATAATCCAAAGAAAAAATAAGAGATCATAAATTACAAATCTATTTTCAAATTTTATTGTTTGGAAAGTGAATTCATTTTTGGTTGTGTGCCCACTTAAAAGGCTTGTGCTTTTTATTCTCATGCAAGCAGCCTCTGGCTTCATCCAAGGGGGGTGGGACTCGTGTGGGGAACGTCTTCAGCTCACAGGTAGTATCTACTGAAAGAACATTGGCTGATTAATAGCAAATTATGATTTTGCCAAAGAGCAAATTACTAATGTAATGGGCTGGATGGCAATGTAGTTAAGTCTTCGTGGGTGTTGGCTAATGCTGGTGGCTGCCCTGGCCAGAGCTGCCAGCAGTGCTGGTACGTGTGCTGATGTCGTGATGGAGCCGATAAATTCCCGGTGATTAGTGAGTCCCTTAACTCCTGGGGAAGATCAGAACGTGACAGTTTTACCTGTCATGTTCACAAACTGACAAGGGAGAGAAGTGTTGTCTGATGATGATCCTGCAGAGGTACTGAGTTGTCATACAAAGCACACGAGATGCACAGTGAGCTTGGCTTTGTGAGAAACATTATTAACTCTGAAACAGCTCTGTGGCCTTTCAGCTTTCTTTGGACTATTGTTTAATGCAGACTGTGCCTAAATTATGAAAATGGGTGTTTTTCTGGGAAAGGCTCAGAGGAACCTGTGGCCTGGACAAAAATTGTTGTTCTGTTATTATTGATGCACAGAATTTGTATGATCATTGAGAGTAAAACTCCTGCTAAGCAAGGCACGTTATGGTTTACAGGAAAAACCAGGAGTCATGAGTGAAGTAGTAGACCTGGGCACTAACTAACTTTTAGAAGAAAGGCTGTTTGCCTGCCTTTGGAGAATAGGTTCTGTGCCATTTACCCTCTCCTGCACCCATCCTGGCGCCATGCCCGTGAGTTCATATGAATCCGTGCCGTCTGCTAAGGCCTGGTAACAGGAGGAGAAGCGTTTCTTCCCCAAAGTCTGATTTAAATGTATAGAGGGCTGATTGTTTTGAGGACAGAAAAATCAAGAATTTAGGAAAGAAGTATAGTTTTCATAGAGTGGCCATTAAACTTATAAAGTGAACAGCTAATTTTTAAGAATTCCTGTGTGTCCTTGGGGTCTTTTGTTTCTCACTCTAATTTAAAAAATTCAAAGTAGAAAAGTCAGAAGACCAAATGTTGCTTTCGCCATGACCTTGTTTACTGTGTTCATCACAGGATATAGAACTATAGTTTCTATAGAGAGAAAACGTCTGGGTATCATCAGCCTTGACGGCCAAGGGAGGTGTGACTTCTAGGGAGATGGCTCTTGAAAGTTGTCCATCCCAATCAAGCCACCTCTCCTGTTCTCAGGGCTTACCGTGAAGTGCTTGGGAGATGACAGGGATGCAACTTAATTAAACTAGTCACTGAAATAGCAGTGTATGCCTACCGGAGACTGACAGCCAATCTGGACACAAATGCTTGCTTAAATGTTAATGGATATCATGAAATAATGGGCCTTTAAAAGAGGGAAGGGGGGGTTAAAGTTATGATGTTACACATATTTCCAAAACATTAGGCAAAGTAAGGTTAGTGCCAAGATAGTTACTACAAGATACTTTATTGAATTAAGTGAATTGGTGGCTGTTCCTTTTTCTGCTAGTTGTCTATCTTCCACGTCTATGAATAACGACGATGGCCTGTACTTAGAAAGCAAGCAATTGAGTTTGATTTACACACAGCACTTCTGCCTGTCACGCTGGCCCACAGTACTTCCACTGCCTCCACCCCTTTTACTCTCCCAGGCAGATGGCATGGTTCAGGACTTCCAACAAGTTTTCAGCTGTGCATTTTCAGATCGCTAGACTCCAGATCCTATACCATTGATCCAGGCTAGAACAAGAGCTTTGATAGACATGGTCTCTGGCTACCAGAGTCTGTAACTTATTCAAAGACAGTATTGTCCTGCATCAGGACCAGGCCACAGCCTGGACTTAGCTCTAAGCAGGAAGAAATCCAGATGTCTAGTATTGGCCATGTTTTAAACATTTCAGATAACACTTGGAAGCAGGCCGCACAGCTCAGTCTGCAGTTGAGACAGCATGCTTTTCTCTTTGAGGCTTTACAGCATCACTCATGCTCTCTCTTGGGACTTTTGATTTGCAGATGCTAATGCTGGAGACCGTGGACAGACCAATAGCTCTGCTTCTGCATCAGCTTCCAACTCCACCTGAACAGTCCCGAGCAGCCAGCTGCACAGGAAAAACCACCAGTTACTTGAGTGTCACTCAGCAACACTGGTCACGTTTGGAAAGAAAATTAAAGAGAGAAAAAAACCTGCTCATTTTAGTGTTCAATTTTTTTATTATTGTTATTATTTAACCTTGTAAAATATCTATAAATACAAACCAATTTCATTGTATTCTCACTTTGAGGGAGACCCAGGGGTGGGAGGGGGAGGGGGAGGGAAAGCGGAGCACCAGAACAGATCTCTCTCCCACGACAATCTTACCAGAAGTCTGCTGTTAGATACTTAAAAACAGAACTCCTGCTTCATGCCCCTTCCACAAAAGAAGAAAACTTCGTTCTGGCTGAAGTTTTTTTTTTTACCTTCTTTTCTTTTAAAGTCAAGTGTAAGACTTGGTATAGTGCACAGCTTGAAATTGGTTAGGAGCTTAGCAGGTGTAACCCCATGGGGACTTAAATGTCACTTGTAAAATTAATCCATATCATCGGGCGTTTGAAGACTTGCCTTTGGCATGTTGGTGGCAGGCATGGCAGACAAAAAGAGAAAAAGGAAATGTGTATTCTGTGTAACCCTGGGAGGTCAATAAAGTTAGAAGCTGTAAGGGAAAGATTCTTAATTGATTTGTTAAAGTTCTGTTTTGCTCTTAATCATGTTAGTGGTGGGGGATTTGTGTAAGAGGCTGTCGGGAAGGAGCCTGCCTGCCCTTCCTGTGGATCTTGGCTTGCCTGGCCAAACGTTCTCCGCACACCTTGGTGCGGTTGTACACTGGTGGCGGAGGAGAAGGCTGACAAAGCGGTGGGCTGGCACCCTGGCTGCAGAGGTCAAAAGCCGATAAACCTGGAGGAAGGGACGGGCCAGGGCGGATCTCACCACTGTGAATGAAGTAGTCCAGATTCTTTTCTAAAGTTGCTTCCCTTGGAAAGATACACTTGAGAAGACATTATAGTTAAATAATGTGAACTGTAACAGTCTACTGGTTTATTTTCATATTTTTTTAATTACAGATTGAGCTTGCAGAAATTGCCACATTCTGCACATAGTTCTAATTTTAAATCCAAATCTAGAATCTGTATTTAATTTCAGCTTTTTTTTAACCTCATGCTTTTTAAATTTTTTATTTATTGATGCATGTGTCAGGCCATTATTATTCTAGATGATAGGAATATTAAAAACTACACATCCAAATGATATAAACAGTCACTTGTACCTGCTGACTTTTTAGGAAAGTGGATTACATAAATGTGTGTATAGGTGTTATATATGCATAGATTCAGTACTGCCTTTTGTTTTTGTCTTCATTTTGTCCACAGTATCAACATTGACTGCTTGAAGAGTGAGAAGAAGAATGTTTCCCCATACCCAGTTAAGAGTTTTGCTTGTTTTCTTTCCTGTATCAGTAATGGTGTAAGAACCAGTCTCTGTTTTTGAAGAAAAAGCAATATTCCTTGGAAAGCAAGGAGGATTGAAGGATTATGTTTGCAGTGAGGAAATGGATTTTCACAGAGTTTGTTTTCACGTTTAAGGTTGACATCTATGTGGGCCTTATATACTCTAAAATGAACCTTAGTCACCTTGGTGCTTACGGGCCATTACTTGACCTATGAATCTTAAAGGCACAACCAGCTGTACTTTACATGTAAAGGTTACTTGAGTGATGGCCGCCTTTCCCCGCTCCCGCTCCTTCCCCGCACGCCTTCTACGGTTCACCGAGAGCCAGGGCTGCAGAGCTGGGCCCTGGGTTGCGTGTGACTTACCTTCCCCTTCTCATTGCCACCTTCTGCCATGGGGGTCTCGCCCTCCAGGCGATTTGGAAGTGGAGTCTCTTGACAGCCCTCATGCAGGTCCCCGGAGCCTGTACTGCTTCTTACCCACCTGACTCCCAGAGAGTCGACTGCCTGCTGACGTGAACCAGTGCCAGGAAGGCAACTGTGAGCCATCGTCGTTTTCACTCACTGTTTAAGCTCTTAGGCCGCAAAAGGGGTTTCTCAAACCTCTGTTTATATCAGAGTTCATGAGAAAGGAAACATCCTCAGTCAAACCAAATCAAACATACTGAATTTTACTTTTCATAATGAGCATCTGAGAGCTGATTAAGATTGGAAAGACATCTGAATGAAAGTATTTGGCAACATGATACTAAAGGAATGGCTTTGATAGGCCATTTTCAGGAAAGATAAAGAGGCCGAACAGCAGGTCTGTGACAGAAATGGACCTGCTTTCAGACCACTGCCCAGCCAACATCTGGACAGACACTACTCTGGATTTGGTATATCTGCCAGAGTCCATAAAAATCTGTGTGTGTTTTACAAAATACCTTCCCCCCGATAAATGGGGTGAGAAAAGAGAAGAGTCTGATGCTTTCCTCTCGGGTTGTGTGTGCGTGTGTGAGGGCTGAGTTGCGTGGTTTTTTCTTTCTCAAGGATCATGGCAGGATCACAGCTCTTTTATACAAGTGAGATCCAGGTCTCTGCGTATCTTTTTGTAAATAATAATAAAAGCTCCTCACCAAATTCAAGCCTGTACATTACATTTTCTTTCAATGTTTTTAAATTTAAGTTTTATTGTTTTGTATGTAAATATGTGGACCCAGGAACTGTTATTAATGAGCAAAAAGTTACTGTTCAGGGCAGTGATTCTGTTTAATAATCAGACAAAATGTAGACGAGCTTTTTAAAGCCATATAGTTTTAACTCTGTACAATAGGTACCGGCCTGTATTATTGTAACAATAACTCTAGCAATGTATAGTGTATCTATATAGTTTGGAGTGCCTTCGCTTCCATGTGTTTGTTTTTTTGTTTTTCATTTTTTTAATTTTAATTGGTTTCTCTCTCTAGCCATGTCTCCCTGTCCCGACCCTTTTCCCTATGAGATAATAGTTCACTCATAACACAGTGTCTGTGCCCCTTCACGGTGAATTTCAGTGACACCATGCTCAGGAGTGGAAAGAGGAAACCATGTTTATAATCTCACATCATGTAAGCCCTGCCTTTGTTTTGGTTCTGAACATACGTCTTCCTCAGTAGCAGTGACCGGTTTCATTTCATCCCGAGGCCGGCCGGGGGCTCAGCACAGTGCCGGGGGCCCTGGAGCCGGAGGGATCCATTAGCTTCTGCTCGTCTCTTCCCCAAACCCTAACCATTGTCTTAAAAAAGCAGATTCCATGCTCACTCTCACAAATGAGAGGGGAGAATTGGTTCTTGTAAATCAGAATTCCATCATAGTGTCAGGTTTTGCTAGTCAGGTCTGAATTGCCAAAAGGCAGTTGCAGGCAGTAACACCGGAGTGCCGTGAGGACTGGGGCTTACCCAGGGTACTCCATCTGTCCGTCCTCTCGCCACCTCCACCCCTTTCAGCAAAATCTCATTTTAATTTCTTTTTTCAAAAATTGATTGAGTTCTTACTGTGTGCCCATCATGAAGGCCTTTTTTGAAAGAAAATCAAAATTAGTTGTTTTGCCTCCAAGTACTCCATATGAGATGTCTTGAGTAGGAAAAAAACACAAACTACCAAACCAAAGGTTCCTCTATTTGAAATATCATGTGTTCGTTCCAGCAAGGCGGAAAACTGCACCTTCTTTCCAGTGACATGTCATTTTTTAAAGTCCTCTTAATTTTTAGATACATATTTTTGGTGTGTGTGTTAATCAAGCTGCCTAACCAGCCATCTGGTCTGCACCAATGCAAAGGTTTCTGAGAGGACCATTGTATTCTCTATCCCTGTGGATATAAAGACACTGGCATTTTCTTTCTTTTCCCCTTTAATTTTTAAGGGACTTAACTTCGGAATCTTCCAAAGGAAGTTTGGCCAATCCCAGATCACCAGTAGTTTGGCTTCTTTTTTTTTTTTAATGAAAATTGTAACCGATTTCTGTTGTTCTTAGTGATCATCTAATCACAGAGCCAAACACTTTCTCCCGTCTATAGAAAAACAAATTCAGCATGCATTACAATAAAACCTGTCTTTTCTGATAGAAACCTGAGCCACTGAAGATAAGAGAGACAACTAGAAGCAGAGTAGAGTCCCAGACTAAGGTCTACGTTTGAGAGGCTTCGAAAGTAATCCCGGAGGTTTGGGTTATTTTCACAAGGGTTATGACGTTTTACTCAAGTTTGTTGCTCCGTTTTGCACCTCTGCAATAAAAGCAAAATGACAACCAGTACATAAGGGGTTAGCTTGACAAAGTAGACTTTCTTGTGTTAATTTTAAGGTTTTTTTTTTCATACTATATCTGCTACAGGCAGATTCAGATAGATGTATGAAATGTGCTTGCCTGTAAAATTGCATTTATAAATGTGTTGCCGATGGATCACTTGGGCCTGTACACATACCAATTAGCGTGACCACTTCCATCTTAAAAACAAATCTAAAAAACAAAATTTATTATATATACATATATATATATATATATATATATAAAGGACTGTGGGTTGTATACAAACTATTGCAAACACTTGTGCAAATCTGTCTTGATATAAAGGAAAAGCAAAATCTGTATAACATTATTACTACTTGAATGCCTCTGTGACTGATTTTTTTTTTTTCATTTTAAATATAAACTTTTTTGTGAAAAGTATGCTTAATGGTTTTTTTTCCCCCCTTTTCCCCATTCCCTTGTAAATACATTTCGTTCTATGTGACTTGGTTTGGAAATAGTTAACTGGTACTGTAATTTGCATTAAATAAAAAGTAGGTAGCCTGGAAATGAAATTAAAATTCACAAGTGTGTGGTCTTTATTTCACTACCCAGCCCTCCTCTTCACCCGGCCAGTTTTGCCACTGCAATATGTAGACACATCGCCACCTCTCTTCCTCCCGTTAGAGAAACATGGATCTTTGTTATAAAAATCAAGATACGAACATTAGTTCTCGTTCTTTCAAATGATCTTATTCCATTGTGTGGCCGAGAGGTGCAGCTTCCATCTTGGAAACCTTTGGATTGGATGCAGAGGAAGCTTTGCAGATGCTGCATTGAGAAGAAAGAAAACACGCCCGAAAGGGACAAGTCTTAAAAACGTGTACAAGCTGCTGTCTTCTGTTACTGTGCTCATGGTTTGGTGTAGCTGTGTTTTTTTTTAAGTTCCATCCCATCGGTAATGGTCTGGGAGTATCTGTAAAATAAGTGAACACAAACAGTGGGGCTGTACCTCCCTGGTAACCGACACATGTTGTGTTTGAGTCCCATCATTTCCAATACTGGATGCTGTATGTAAACATGTAATGTCTCTTAGTGCAAAAAGAAACTTTTTTTTAGGGCTGGCTCGCGGTCAGGCCTAATCTAAAGGCTAGATATAAAGTCATGTGACTGCTGCTTCAATAAAAACAAATTTATATTGGATAAAGTCTGGTCCTCTTTCTTCACTTACGTGTTCATTGTGGTGAGATGTGGCAGTGGAGGGGCGGGGGTTGAGGAAGTCCCTTGTGGGATAGGCTGGCCTCCAGATACCACTGAAGTACTTTTGTTTGAGAGTCACTCATATTTCCTGCCCCCTTTGAGTAGGGGTTGAGCAGGATGCCCTTTTAACTTAAAATCCTGGAAGTCTTCCCTTCCAGTCGTTTGGGGTCACATTTCTGGGGGAGCCGTGACAATGCCAATTGAGGCTGGAAAGGGGTCGTGAGAAAAGGGAGGGGTCAAGCTGTAGGTTCCCTCGAGGGAAAGTTGGTGAAAGGGAAGTGACCACAGTGATGGACGGTCACCCAGGCCTCAGGTGCAGGGGTATTTGACTCCCCCACTAGCACCTTGGGATTTAGGAGAACTGTGAGCGCATTATAGGGACGTGTCCCAGGAAAACGAGCTGTTGTGGAAGGTGGGATGATGAGGCCTCCGAGTTGTCAGAGCTGAGGGGACAGTCAATCAAATGTGCATTTCTCTTTCCAGCCTCTTCTCCACAAAGAAGCTCTGGGCCTTCCCCAAAGAAGGACCCTTCACGTTTGGGGCAGGTAGGGATTGGCTGCTGAGTGGCTCTGACCAGTGGGGGAGCCAGACGGTGAACATAACTTCCTCAAAAGGTCTCTCCCGAGCTCCGGTGTCAGACTTCATCCTCACCTGACTGGGGCCAGACCTAGAGAAAGAACAGTGGCCACAGAGATGCCCAGAAAGCGACACTCAGTTCTAATGCTCAGAGCTCGGGAAGGGAACAATGAAATCTGAATGCTTGGGAGTAGGGCCGGGCGCCTGGCCCTCTAAACCACAAAGCCGCTGAGAGGAAGGGTCCCGTGTGAGCTCTTCGGTGCACCTAACCTTGACTCTTAACTGCACTTGGACCACACTTACTTTTTTATAGTATGTATGTCATTTAATATTAAGTCATTGTTTGGGGAATTGCCCAGGTATTTTTAAAACCAATATATCCCCCTTTTTAAATTTATTTAAATTGTAAAAAAATTTTAAAAAATTGTTTATTGTTGACACTATTGCAGATGTCCTGCATTTTCCTCCCACCTCCACCCAGCCCCCGCTCTTGGCCCTCCCCATTATTGTGTGTGTCCATGGCCTATGCATATGTTCTTTACCGAATACTACCTCACCTTCCTTTATCCGGTGTCCCTCACCCCCCTGCCCTCTGACATCTGCCAGTCTGTTTCATGTATCCATGCCTCTATTCTGTTTTGCTTGTCAGTTTATTTTGTTCGCCAGATCTCACATATTAGTGAGATCACGTGGTATTTGCCTTTCTCTGGCTGGCTTATTTCCCTTAGCATAAAAATCTCCCGGTCCATCCACGCTGTGACCAAGGGTAAGAAGTTTATTGTGTAAATGTACCACAGCTCTTACCCACTCATCCACTGATTACATCCCGCCTTAATCTCATCTTGCCCTCACTTCACCGTAGCCTGCATTTGAGTGACTAGCACACTCAGAATTATTCCAGTCAGGAAGAGGAGAACCATTTGATTTATGAATACAGTTGAATGAAGTTTACATTTCCAAAAGCAATTCCTGGGGGCAAAAGCTGGAGTCCTTGCATTTGCAGAGAGAAGCTTCCCCCCCCTCCATTTCCTTTCTGAAAACGAGAGTGTTTATCTCCTTGATGCAGAGAGTCTGGTACACTTGGAGGGATTCAGGGCATAGGTTTGCTTGCTTTGATATCGATATATAGTGTCGATTTCTTATGTTCTCAAAGTTTGGCCAATTTCTCATAAAATGGCAAAAGCTAAGCAAGTATCTGTTCCTCAAAATTCAGTTAATGTGTAGCTTCATTTGCATAAACATATTACACTTTTGAAATTATTTCAATTACTACATTTTTAATTATAGTATAAATATATTAAATTTTTATATGGAGCAATCATTTTATGAGGAAGCCAAGTTAATGCATTTTTATATTCTTTCACCAACCGTCTTCAGATATGTAAAAGGCAATCCTATATAATAAAAGGCTCATATACAAACAGACCAAACAGTGGGACAACCAAACAACCAGCCGCTATGATGTGCACTGACCACCAGGGGGCGTATGCGGAATATGGCGGGCGTTGGCTGTGGCGGGATGGACGAGCATGTGAGCAGGGGTGCTGGTCGCTGTCATCGGGGTGAGCTTCTAGTGTTTACTGAAAATTATTTGCTCCTGCGCAGTGTGGTCCCGCCGGGCACCTGCACCTGCACCCACTGCCGGTGCCTGGTGCCAGTCCAGATCACTCAGCACCATCAGATGGTGCAAGCAGCAGCTGCAGGCCCTAATCGCCCCTGGGGGCTTCTCTACTTCCTCCTGCTCCTGAGGGGTGATCAGGGCAGTAGCCACCACTTGCACCCACTGCTGGCACCAGGCCCAATTGCTCATGCTATCAGCAGGTGCAAGCAGGCCTGGCACTGTCAGGCTGAGGGTCCCTGTCCCCTTCCGGGGGACCTCTAGCCAGCTCCGTCAGAGCTGTCCCGAGTTCCCCGAGGAGGCAGGACCTGCGGGGCCTGGTCAGCTGTCGGCGGTGCCCATCTGTCCAACCCCCGGTGCAGCTCCTCAGGCGTCCGAGATGCTGAACAGCTCCTGCATGAGGGGCGTGGCGAAGGGGTGGATGTCGTGGATGCGCAGCAGCCGCTGGGTGTGCTGGGCGTTGATGCTGCGGAGCTCGGTGAGCCTGGCCATGATCTTCAGGAACAGGAACCTGCGGGCCGGCCAGAGGGGGGGTTGGGGTGCGGCCCATCCTGGCCCCACCTACTGCCCCGGGACCACCCTGAAGTCGCCCAAGCTTGGGGGTCTTCATCTCAGAACGTTTGGCGTCAGCCCAGGGAAAGGCTCCGTTGAATTACGTAAGCTTGACTTTCAGCCCGTGGGCGAGAAGGTGGGGCAGCCTGGGGGACTGGAGGTGCTGTACCCCCATCGGCATCTCTGTGTACGGGAGATACCCGTGGGAACACGCAGGTATTTCAGGCACCAAGTGCACAGGCCCATTTGTGGGGAAGTCCCTGCGTCGGCTAATGGCTGGGGTGAGGATCGAGTGCAGGGGCTATGGAAGCAGGGGTTGCAAGCAGCGATCCCTTCCGGATCCAGTCTGGGATCTCGTGCCTCCGTTTCCCCAGGATGCCTCCTAGTCCCGCACAGGGGAGGACTGAGCAAATGAAGACACAGCCACTGCAACACCCCGAGATCCTGAGCTCCACAGAAAGCCGGGGCAGGCCAAGCAGAGGCGGGCATACGCTGACACCAGTGTACACCTGCTGGCCTTCGGCCTCATGGCTGGAGCCTGTGGGCCGCTGAGGCCCCAGGAAGGGTGGAAACCGCTGTCTGGCCAAGCCCTAGGAGCCTTCCTCCCGTGGGTGGCAGAGAACAGACTAAGGATTTCCCGCCTGGTTTGCTTGTCCTTTTTCTGGGAGGCGTCAGGCAGTGCTCAGAGGGTGGGCTGTGGACTTGGGCCACTGCCAGCCCCACCTGCGCCTCCGTCCCTGCAGGAGGGCGGTGGCACCACTGGGTGGGCCTGTTTTCATGACGAACAGTGATCGTTCCTGTAAACGGCTTGGCAGGGGGGCTGGCACTTCCCAGTACGTGACAGCTATTATAGGTGTACTGTTACCGTTGTTATTGTCATATCTTTCTTACCAGGTGGTCATTGCTGGCTATTGCTAGAGACGCTACCGAAACTAGTTTGGCTCAGTGGATAGAACGTTGGCCTGCGGACTGAAAGGTCCTGGGTTCGATTCCAGTCAAGGGTATGTACCTCGGTTGTGGGCACATCACCAGTAGGGGGTGTGCAAGAGGCAGCTGATCTATCCCTCTCTCTTCCTCTCTGTAAAAATTCAATAAAATGTGTTGAGAGAGAGAGAGAGAGAGAGGGCCTGTGGAGCCTCAGGAGACTGCCTGGCTGTGCCAACCACGGAAGGGAAGGCCGGGGCAGACGGGAGCTGGGCCTCAGCAGCAAGGTCCCGGGCGTGGGGCTGGAGCCCAGGCTGACTGGTCAGGAGACCTCCGTGGAGGTCCCAGTTCAGGGCCCCAAAGCCCTGGCCCTCAGAGCCTGCCCCAGAGAACCTCCAGCCGTCTCTCCCAGAAGACCAGGACAGGGGCCTGGCAGGCAGGGGGGCACCCCTCACCCCGCCCGGCGTGCTGCTCACCGGTGGCCGGGCTGCGGGCGGTGGTGCTCGATGTAGGCCTTCAGGGCGATGGCGAAGCGCTCCTGCAGCTGGTCCACCACGCTGCGCTGCACCACCCCGGGGCGGTCTGTGCGGAGGGAACGGTGTGTGCCAGCGCGGCCATGGGCAAAGCTCCCAGCCCAGGGAGGGCGCATTGCCTGGCAGCATCTTCCCCCGAGCAGAGACCCCGGGCAGGGAACTGAGGGGAGCGCCAGGAGGACTGGCATCACACATCCCCCACCCCTACCCCTACCCCTACCGCTATCCCCATCCCACCCCGAGGGAAGGCTCAGGAGAAACCAGCAGGGCCCTACCCTGGCTGGGCAGTGAGAGGGGCAAAGCCACCGGGTAGGACCTTACCTGGGGAGGGGAGGGGAGGGGAGGGGAAGAGAGGGGAAGGGAGGGGAGGAGAGAGAGGGGAGGGGAGGGGCAAGGATGAGAGAGCAGGGAGTGGGGGGAGCTAAGAGCTGAGGGGGTGGGAGCAGGCCTGGGGGCAGGGGGGCCGGCGGCCGTGGGGCCCCACCTGGGGAGAAGAGGGAGATGGCCTGCATGAGCACGTACTCCTCCTCGCGCAGCCGCAGCTCCTTCAGCATGTAGTGGAACTTGAGCATGGGCTCCAGCAGGAGCTGCTGGAAGCCCCCTGTGGGTGGGTGGGGGTGGGTGCGGCGTGAGGGCCCAGCCCAGGCCTCCCTCACCGAGGCCTTCTGCCCCGCGGCCTTCTGCCCCGCGGGCCCAGGACACGCACATCCTGGCTCCGCTCCTCTCTCCTCCCGGCCGGTCCCCTCCCTCCGCCCGGGGCAGGCGGGCGGCTCTGGGCACCTGCGGGGCCTTCCAGGCAGTAGGACAGCCGGCCGCACTCCCAGGTGCCCGTCTCCGCGTTGAACACCGTGTTGAACCTCAGCTGGTACAGCTCAAAGGCGGCGCCCTTCAGCAGCGAGATCTGGTCCTCCATGGGCAGGTCCCTGGCAGCGGGGAGGGTGGGGGGGAGGCTGGGAGGGGAGCCGCCCCTGGCCAGCCCCTCTCCCACAATCCAGAGATCGGGGGAGAGGGCAGGGGGGATGGGCTCCTACCGTGAGGATGACTCCAGTTGCTTTGGTTTTCTCCAACCTCTGCCCCTCACGACCCAGCCAAGCAGGTCACCTCTCCCGCCCCTTCCTCCGGCCTCCCCTACCTCAGGGACTCCCCACGGGAAGATGGGGCTTGGCGTCCCTTCCAGCCTAGCCCCCTCCCCTCCAACTCCCTGCACAGCCGCTGACCCACAGCCGACGCCTTGGCTTCTGGTCCCTGGCCTCATACTTCCTGCCTCGGTTTCCCCACTTATCCCAGAGCCTTTGAACCCACCGGCCATTGTCTGCTCCTTCCCATGCCCACCCCCCGCCCAGTCCCCGCGTCCCACCTGAAGTGGGAGATGACCTTGGCGAAGTTGATGATGCCTTTGAACATGTAGGTGGACATGTCGGCCATGTGAGGCAGCAGGGAGAAGATCTCCTTCCCGCTGCCCTCGGCCGGGGGCTTGTAGTTCCAGACGCTGCCGTCCTCCCCCCGCAGCTGCAGGGACACCACCTTCAGGGAGGACAGGTCTTCTCGGATCTTGCTCCACTTGGTAGCTTCTTCCCCGAGTGGAGCCTGCGGAGAGCCTGGGAGCTCGTGGCCACTGCTGAGCACCTCCGGCAGCTGGGACCGAGAGGAGGCGGAGAGAGGAGAGGGAGACAGCATGGATTCTCCCCAACAGGGTCCCACACAGGCCCCAGATGGGCACCCACAGCGGCAGGCTTGAGAGGATGAAGGCAGAAGCATGTGTGTGTGCGCGCGCACACACACACACACACACACACACACACACACACAGCGCTTGCTGCTTCTCCCTGGTCTCCCATCAGGTGGTGCACTTTCTGGATCTGTGAAATGATGTCCCTCACATCCCTGCCCCATCAGACATGGGTTTACTTCCTGCCCCTGGGGAGGTGACAGGGCCAATTCCTTAGCTGTGCCCCAAGCATCCCCCGCCCTTATAGTTGGGAGACCCAGGGAAGGGTCTACAGATGGAAGGGACAGGCTCCTGGGGGCCCCGGCTCCCGGTTTCCCGAGCCAAGCAGTCTCCCGGGACACTGTGAGCATCGAAGGGGAGAGGGTGCAGAGCTGAAACGTGGCTGACGGCGCTGAGGTCACTAATGTTTCTGGAATCAGTAAAACCAGTTCACAGATGTCAGACCTCCTGCAGGCCCGGCCCTGTTTTCATTAAGCCCTGAACCCCAGCAATCCCCGGACAGCTCAGCTTCTGAGACTCCACTGATGGCTCAGGCCCGGTTCCCACCTGCTGCAGAAGGAGGAAGCAAAGGTTCTCAAACCGAGCATATGTTGGAACCCCTGGGGGTCTTGTCAAAATACAGGCTGTGTGCCCAGCCTCCAGTGTCTGAATTGGAGCCTGGGGGCATCTGAGAACTTGCATTCCCAACTAACAAGCCCCCCGGGGGCTGCTGCTGGCTGCAGGGGCCAGTTTGGGGGATTTCTGGGAATGTGATTGGGGTTTGGAGGAGCCGGCATAGCCACTGAGCCACGTGTAAAGCCTCATACCCGGAAGTTCTTGAAATGGGCGAAGGTGGTGTCAAAGGTTTTCATCTGAGCGTCCATCAGCTCCCGGATCATCGCCCACTGCTCTGCTGTCAGGCCCTTGGCTCCCAGGGGCTGCGTCCCAATCTGTTCTCGCTTCTTCCTGATCAAGGCCCGTCTCTGCTCCACGGCTGCGTCCGACATGATCACTGCAGGGACAGCCAGGGCAGGCTCAGCTGCCTGCGGGAGCGAGGCCGCCTCGCCCGCCCAGGCAGCAGCAGGGGAAGAGCTGCTGGCGGGAAACCCAGACTCGTGAGGGCAATGGCTCCTCTGGAGAAACACTTGGGGGAGGACAAAGGGATGAGGTGCGGCCGGTGTGCTGCCCACGACTGCGGGGTTTGTGACAACTTTGTGGAACAGAGGGAAGTGCTTGGCTTCAGAACCAAAAGGTACTAGGTTTGGTGACAGCTGGGTTTGGTGACAGCTGGGTTTGGTGACAGCTGGGTTTGGTGGTAGCTGGGTTTGGTGGTAGCTGGGTTTGGTGACAGCTGGGTTTGATGATAGTTGGGTTTGGTGACAGCTGGGTTTGGTGACAGCTGGGTTTGGTGGCAGCTGGGTTTGAGTGACAGCTGGGTTTGGTGACAGCTGGGTTTGGTGACAGCTGGGTTTGGTGACAGCTGGGTTTGGTGACATCAGTGACCT